GCTTCCTTCGGAGCCCTTTGCAGAACAGATAGCTCTGTCAGGACGTCAGCGCGGAGAAACGCACAGCTGAGATTTTTCATGTTGGATTTCCATTTGGCTCTGATTTTCTAGTGAATGCAAAACGAAAAAAAAAATAATAAAACAACCTAGCGGGGCTGGATCTGCATGGATTGGACATTTATATCAGTAGCAACTATGGATTTTCTTGTTTTAATTGATGGCGAATTTCGGAAGCGTGTTTAATCTGATCTAGGTGAGGTGTCTCCTGCAAATTACAGGTTTGTCAGAAGTGCAACTGCAGTTTGACACAAACTGTTGACAGAAAACACAGTGTGTTTTCTGACTTGTTTATGAGGGGTTGGGGAATAAAATGAAAACAAAACCAGGGGATGGAGCCACAAAAGGCAGATGATTCTACCCCAGGAGGTGATTCTACCCCTCTGCTCTGCTCTCATGAGACCCCACCTGGAGTATTGTGTCCAGCTTTGGAGTCCTCAACACAGGAAGGACATGGACCTGTTTGAATGGGTCCAGCAGAAGGCCACGAAGAAAATCCGAGGGCTGGAGCACCTCTCCTATGAGGACAGGCTGAGGGAGTTGGGGTTGTTCAGCCTGGGGAAGAGAAGCCTCCAGGGAGACCTTATAATGGCCTTCCAGTACCTGAAGGGGGCTACAGGAGAGCTGGGGAGGGACTCTTGAACAGGGAGGGGAGCCATAGGATGAGGAAGAACGGTTTTAAACTGAAAGAGGGGAGATTTAGGTGAGATTCTTTGCTGTGAGGGCTGTGAGAGCCTGGCCCAGGTTGCCCAGAGAAGCTGTCGCTGCCCCATCCCTGGAGGGGTTCAAGGCCAGGCTGGACAAGGCCTTGAGCAACCTGGTCTGGTGGGAGGTGTCCCTGCCCATGGGAGGGGATTGGAACTAGATGATCTTTGAGGTCTCTAATTACTTTACTGAGAGGGTGGTCAGGCACTGGAACAGCCTGCCAGGGAGGTGGTGGAGTCACCATCCCTGGAGGTATTTAAGAAACATGTAGATGTGGCACTTCAAGGCATGCTCTAGTGCCTGAGATTGTTGGGTTTTGTCTCTCTGTGGGTGGGTGTGGTGTATGGGGTGTGTTGGTTTGGGTTGTGTTTTGGTTTGGTGTTTTTACGAGGCTTTGGGAAATACTGAAAGGCTATAGAAGGGATCACAGGCACAGGGACAAATCTGACCAGTTCAGGGTATCTACCCTTAACACAAGTCTTTCATTTTAGTCTCTTGCCAACACCCTCCTTGGACAAGCTTTGCTATCTTGAGTGCTAAAATTATTCCCTTTCCATGTCTTTCTACATAAATTGGCCCCATGTTTAGTTATGTCCATGTTGAAGTTGCACATTCTTATTTTCTTGTCCAACTTTAAGCTCCATCCTGCGTGTCCACCCCCTTCTTACCCATCTTCATCCTCTTCAGCCTCCTGGCTGAACTGTCTCAGCTAAATTCCTAAGATTAGGTGGGATATAACTGAGCCTATATCTCTCAAAATGATGAAGAAAAAAAAAATATATCTTGGTTCCTGCTTTCCAGCCAGACAAAATAAAACTAAGCCCCTTATTACTGATAGGGAAATGAGGAGATTAACTTATCCAAGTTATGGGATCTGCAGTCAAACAGGATTTCTCAGGTTCCTGGGAAACATTCTTACCACTCAGTTTACTATTTCTTATTGGGATCTTCCTTAGCCTTTTGGGTTTTAAGTTGCCTTTTTGGCTCTTTTTGATCAGGGATCTGTCTTCCTCAGACCAGTAGGTACCTGGAAGATGCTGAGCACGCTGATTTTAGACTCTGAAACTCTTAGCAGTGCGAGTAGAGCTCAGCATGGAACCACCACCTCGGCCCTGGGAAGAGAAAAAAGCTTATTCAAAAATACATTTGGCACAAGGCAACGGAGTCCAATTAGCCCCTGTAGCCCCAGATGTTTTCCTAATGAAAAGCTATGGCCCCCCAGCTGTGTCCAGGGATGTTCCCCATCACTCTGTTCCTGGCTTGGGGCGGCAATGGTGCAGATCTGGGCCCATCACCACCAGCAGATGTTCTCTGGATAAAACCCACTGAGCTGTGGAAGGGTGAACCCTCCTCGCTCATGTGCCATCACCTGTGTATGTGTTACACCTATTCCCTACCCGCTCCTGGGAGCTGGGTACAAACAGATGGCATTTTCCTTGGCCCGTTGAGCTGTGAATTAATTAGTTGATTATGGCACTGGCGGTAGCAAGTAACCCTATTACAGCAGCAGGAATAATTACAGAGGAGTTGGGGAGAAGGGGGGTGGTGGTGTTTGAAAGGAAGCGTTTTGAGCTGTACTAAAACATGTCATCCTGTCTTGTGATAATTTACTGGAGGACTCGAATTAGATTGACATTGATAGAAGTTACGGAGGTTGAAAACTGGCTGAGATGCCAGAAAGAAAAGGTGGGGAAATAAGAGTTTTTAATCGATGGGGAAAGCTGGGTGTCTAATGGAGATTGGGTATGCAGCACCTTATTTAACATCTCCCTTAATGAGGAGGTGGTTGGAGTAAAACCAACCTGTCAATAAAAATTAGGAGGAAAGAATGGGGACATAATTCTGAGGACCCACGTAGTGGTGGCAGTGTCCCAGCATCGATTAATTTGAAGCTCCCTATTGATGTCAATGGAGAGTTTGGCTCCAGCAGCTCGTGGACCCATGAGAACCACATCACCAAAAGGTGAGAAAAGCAAGAATTGTGTGAGTTAGGCTCTCAGAAGACACTCACCCCCAAAAAAGCAAGGGCACCAAGCTCAGTTTGCAACTCACTGTAGGAGCTGAACAGCCTCTCCTCGTTCCTTCCCAACACCCACTCCAAAAAGCAATAGGAATTTGGAGGACAGCAGATAATAAGGATCATAAAACAGAGAAGGGAGCTCTGTCCTCTCTATAACTCCATCAGAAGACTCCCAAAGATGACTCGCATTCGTGGACGTCTGAAGGGCTATGATAAGGCTGTAAGTAATTGAAGAGAGTAAATAGTGAGAGCGGCGAGAGCTGCTGTAAGGGGAAATAACGGGGAGTAATGGGATGAAATTGAGTAAAATAAAACACGAGCACAGTATCAGGATTTTTTTTCTGTGTGTGTGTCCAACAGTTAGATCTGTTCAACTGTGAAATAGACTCCCAAGGGAAGGAGACTATTACTTTAGTCATTTAAATCTGGAGAGGACAAAGCACTGGCTAATATATTCAATGGAACAGTTGTCTTGCTTTGGCAGAGAAATGACCAGATATCAGCAAATTTAGTTTTTCCATCTCGGATGTCAGAGATTCTGGTGGAGGGTGGGGGTTTATTTTTCCCCGTTGTTGTTCACCGGGGTGAAAACAAGGGACCTTTTTTTCCTAAGTGGAAAAACACCAAGTTCCAAACAGCAGCCGAAGGCCAAATTGAAATTTTGACGCCGCTGTCTTCTGTGGCTGGAAACAAAATTCAGTCTTTTGTCTGTGGCAGATAGAACATGCAATTTAAAGAGAGGGAGAATGTATATAAGTGCATGTGACAAATTCATTTTTACAAATCCTGTGTAGTTACTGAGCAGAGGTTTACCTGGTGGTAGGTGAAAGGAGCGATAGGTTGCTCCGTGCTGGTGGGAAGAGAAGTATTTTGCTCTGTTTCAAGATAGATCAGCGTTGCCTCCTATCTCAGTCCCGTTTTGACTATTTTCCTTTTCGAAACACAGCTCCTCAGTGTGTTGTTACTTTCATTTCTATTTATTGACCGAAAAATACCTTGCAGGAAATTTAAAATGAGACCAGTTAATCCACACAAACCCCTTAGAAATGCGCAGGGTCTTTATTGCAATCTTGCATGACCCTTCCCAAAATCGCTACCTGGATGTCTAGTTACACCTCTGAGCATCTTTTTGCCCCATGTAATGTCCTAATTTGAACATCCTAGGTGTTCAGGCTGGATGGAGCTTTGAGCAACCTGTCCTGGTGGGACGTGTCCCTGCCCAGGGCAGGGGAGTGGAACTAGATGATCTTTAAGGTCCCTTCCAACTCTAACCATTCTATGATGCTATGATTCTAATTGCCAGTGGGGAGTTCAGATTAGCTTCACTGCCAAAAATATTAAACGAGGAAAGTCTCCAGGATTGGAATATGCCATGATCTTTGATTCAATTTCACACATACATACGAATTAGCTGAAATCTCTATTATTAAATGTTTTGGATGACTGGAGAGAAGATCCTGGACCCTTCATGTCCTTTCATTGCTTCAGATCTGGTCCCCAAGCTGGGCCAGCTGGTGTGTGGTGAGCTGGTGGCTTCCACCCAGGTCTTCCCGGGCAAGTTTCCACGCTGCAGTCACAACACAATCAGCAGCGGCTGGCGAGCTCGATTGAGATTGCAGAGAAGAAATGAGCCGTGGAGAAACTATCTTCTCTCTCTTCTAGTACGGAATGACCTCCTCCAGTTGTGTAAATGATTGGAAGTTGAATGATTTCAAGGGTGGGGATATATCAGGCTGGATATTAGGAAAAATTTTTTCACTGAAAAGGTTATCAGCCATTGGAATGGGCTGCCCAGGGAGGTGGTTGAGGCCCCATCCCTGGAGGTGTTCAAAAGACGGGTTGATGTAGTGCTGGGAGGTATGGTTTAGTGATGATGCTCCTTGTTTGGTTGGGTGGGTGTCTGTTTTTGTCAGTTAGGTTGATGGTTGGACAAGATGATCTTTAAGGTCCCTTCCAACCTAGAAGATTCTGTGATTCTGTGAATATGACCCTTTTTCCCTTAAAGGACTCTACCAAAGTACATCAAGAATTTTATACCCTGTCCACCCGTGTTGCCGTGTTCTCCACACAAGTGCTTAGTTGAACTCCTCTTTGGACCCCTTCCTTACTGCTTAACGCGCGTTTGTATGTGATGGAGATTTTAATGAATATGTGCAAAATTGTGTTAAAAGTTCAATTTCCTTCGTGCTACTGTGGTTGTTGCTGCTTTTCCCCGTAGGAGCATCGTGCAGTCGGATGAAAAGCTGGTGATCAGTGCCTCCTGGGCTAAAGACGACGATATTAGCAGGCTCCTGAAATCTCTGCCCAACTGGAGCAACATGGCCCAGCCCAAGCAACTGAGACCCAAGAGAGAGGAGGAGGAGGACTTTATAAGGTACAATATTTTATGAAGTTGTAAAAGGGTTTCAAGGAGAGTAGCGACAATGGTCAAACCTGCTGGAAGCACAGCAGCTGTGGTGTTTGTGCAGCTGTTGTGTCCCCAGGTGTGAGAACAGGTTGAGATGTGGTCTTTCCTCAAGTGGAGTAATGAAACTTGAGTCTACGTGCTGTTATACTGTGTGATTCTAAAGCCAGGCAGCAGCTTTGCTGAACTGAGAAATTCTTCTGCGTTGCCCAGACTTCGTTCTGTTGAGATGGAGAAATCATTAGGGAAATTATCTGTTTCTGGGCTTTGCTTAGCAGTGACTGTCGTATGATGGATTGGTAGATAAACCATCTTGAAGGACCTTATCCTTCAAGTGATAGGAGAACGCAGAGCTTCTTCTCAGACGCGGCAAGGACAGAAGAGAGGGAGGCCATGGCTCAATAAGGAAGCTTCAATAGCAGCACCAGCTTCCTGCTTTTCTGTACTTATTGCTCATTTCTGTAAAGGGGCTCCAGAAAAATCTGGGGAGGGACTCTTGATCAGGGAGTGGAGCCATAGGATGAGGGTTAATGGTTTTAAACGGAAAGAGGGGAGATTTAGGTGGGATCTCAGGAAGAAATTCTTTGCTGTGAGGGTGCTGAGGGCCTGGCCCAGGTTGCCCAGAGAAGTGTGGCTGCCCCATCCCTGGAGGGGTTCAAGGCCAGGTTGGAGGGGGCTTTGAGCAACTTGGTCTGGTGGGAGCACCTCCCCATGGCAGGGGGTTGAAACGAGATGATCTTTGAAGGTCCCTTCCAACCCAAACCATTCTATGATTCTATCTGAGAATCGTGTTTGTGAACCGAATCAGGAATGTGGCTGGGATTGGGGAGGGAAAGGAAGGGTTATTTTTACTTCAGGCAGATCCTTGTCCTGGCTGATGGTACTACCCTGGTTACCCATGCAATGAAGAGAGCAGCAGTCTGCGCCCTAATGCATGGGCCAACTGGTTTTACTGGGCAGGAATTCCCAAAACTGGTGTTGTCACCAAAGCTGTCCTCCATTTGAGCCATGACCTGGTGGTGTTTCTCCTGCATCCCAATCCCAGGAGCTCTGTAAGGAGAGTCAAGTGAAAAATATTGGTACTTCCAGAAAGGATTCTTTCAGAGGCAACTTACTGTGTCCAAACCAGATTGTTTCTTCCTTTTCAAGGAAGTGAAAGCCTCTAAGTAGGCAGATTGCCTTTCCCTGCACACTGGAAATGGCTTCATCTCTTAATCGTTGTCTCATCCTGAAGAAACAGGTCGTCTTTGTCATTCCAGCCAGTCAAAAAGCTTGTCTGCACATTCCCATCACTATTCATCACTTCCTTGATTGGCATTTGGCTATAAAACTGTAGGAGTAAGTGAAGCTGTTGAAAATTAAAGTCTAATTTGCCCAGATTGTGATTTTACTTGTTCACTGAATGCAAGCACAATAACGTAAAGATGATACAGTCTAGAGAGAGGCACGACTTGTTCACTGAATGCAAGCACAATAACGTACAGTCTAGAGAGAGGCACGGCGAAGAGTATAAAACATGTCTAGTCACAGAAATGTTTCCTCATCCTGCAGTGGGGATGATCAGCTGTGCCAGTGTTTTGAAAAGTCTTCGGTGGTCATGGAAGAGTGAGCATGCGGAGCCCTTGAGGTCTTTGTGCAGCCCCTGGGTTTTTTGAGATTCACGGGCTCGGTCTCAGCCTCCATCTTTGCCTTCGCATCCATCCTCTGTCTTTCTTGGCACAGAAAGGTGCTGGGATGCCCTCCTGGCTCTTCCTGGGATTTCTGAGCCATCGGGGTGGGACACCAGAGCTCCCGTGGATGCAATCCCGAGTCCTATTGGAAGAGCGTAACCCGCTACTGTGAATTCCTGGCCAGGCTAAGTCTGGTGGCCAAGCTCAGTCTGATGCTAGCAGTGCCAACGTTTTCATCCTAATATTCATTTTATTCCAATATTGTCATTTTACTATCCATTAATTGAAGTATTTTGTGTAATTTTGCCAGCAGTGTTAGAATGGAAAGCCTATTAGGGCATCTACATTGAATTCACTGGGAAAAGCTCCTTTATCCTGTCTTTTTTTTTAGCCCAGACATTAGGACAGAGATCTTTTCTCGCTATCTGTTTGCACAGAGCATCATGTATTAAGCCTCAGCTCCTCAGAGTGCCATGTGAATGCTCCTGTAGCATTAATTTAAACGATAATAATTAGTCTGGGCCAGTTCTAGCCCTTGATGGTAAGCGGCATGGCTTAGAAACTTCCTCAAGAATCTGCGCATGGTTGAACAGATCTCTCCCGAAAGCTTCAAAATAAAATTAATTGCTTGTCCAATTTTTTGTCGTCTTCTTTCCATTTAAGCAGACTTTTTTCAGACTTTTTCCTAATACAAAGGAACATGATTTCTTCGCTGCTGTTGCTTCTTTCTCTTCCTCTCGGCGCTGCTGATACATTGAGGATAATTCCACCGTGGCCATCACAGCCTGAACACTGCAGTGGAGCCAAAGGGAAATGGATCCTGCAGATACCTTGGTTATTAGGGTCATGGCTGTGATGGGAGGGCTCATTTTATCCTCACTTTAACCATCCAAGAGGTTTAAAACCCTGATATACAGATACCAACCTGTGTTCACAGGCTCTTCTCAGCTCACAGGGACAGGACTAAGCATCCTTTCCTGGAAAGGAAGGTTTAAGCTTGATGAAACATAGGAGTACGTTCTTTTTGGACATAAACAAGGCTGATAGCAGTGCTTGAACTACTACATCCCTTTATGAATGTTGCTAAATTAAATATGCCCTGAAAGTTTACCACTGTGGTTTTGTACTGTGGCGGGAAGAGATATCACAGCGCACAGTTTTCTTTTCCTCCCCCTCCTCAGGTTTCCTGTAACTCATTTGTTTAATTAAAAAAACGAATCCAAACGTGATGTCTTTGCAAAAAAAAAAAACAAAACCCACACCCTCATGCATATCTGTGTTGACAGTGATTGATTTTGTTGTCTTAACCCACCACTATCTCGTTCGCGCATAGATGTCAAAAGGCAGGGTAAGATACTAACAGAATCTTCCCATTAATATTCTGGAGTGGTTGGCCAGACAAAGGGACCTGATTGAGCATATTATAGTAGCTCAGAACTTGGCAAGGGGAGAAAGGGAAGGAAAGTCATGCCTCTATTCGTGTAATTAGTTTTTAAAGCTCTGAAGGCTATTTGGCACTGGGGCGAGTGTGAAATATGCTGCCCTTATCGCTTTATAAAGGTTAGCTTTCAGTTCATTACTGAATCAGATACGTTGGTGATAAAACCCAAAGATGTATCATTTCCAGGTTTGCCTCCGACGAGGAAAAGCAATGTAAAAAAACCTTCAGATCTGGTCACACTCGAGTTGCAGCAGAAATTCTTGGGTTTTGGTGCAGCACAAGGGGCGGCAAGGTCACTGTGCACCCCAGGGGAACCAGGTTTTCGGGGTGCTGAGAAAGGGGTACTGGCAATTCATGGGGCAACACGTTTGTCTGGAAACCCCACGTGGGTCTGAAGATCACACCACAACGCCTGCTATTCTGGACGTAGATCTGAGATATCAACCAAGCCTGTGATGGGAGGGGGATGGTGATTCCCTCCTCACCTTTTGCATCCAGCAAGCTCCTGAACACTGAATTTGGGATCAAATTCTCAGGCTAAAGTTAATGGAGTAATAAGGAAACACTTCTCATCATCTCCATGTGCCACTTGACTTTTACTTTCACTACTTTTGGTTTTTTAGTGAGGATAACCCTGATGGCAGGGTGCTCCAGCTGCCTCCTCCCCTGCATCTCCACTTGATGATGCTCGTCCTTCCTTGCTCTCCACCAAAAGGAGAGAGTGTATTCGAGCAACATGGAGGGTTACCTCTGCAACAGTAGATCCTTCACCAAATCATCCCAAATGGCACTGGTCAGAACAGTTCACTGTCCCAGCTAATTACAGAATCACAGACTGGCAGGGGTTGCAAGGACCTCTGGAGATCATCTAGTCCAACCCCCCAGAGCAGGTTGCACAGGAACATGTCCAGGAGGGTTTTGAATGTCTCCAGAGAAGGAGACTCCACCACCGCTCTGGGCAGCCTCTTCCAGGGCTTTGCCACCCTCGAGGGCAGCCTCTTCCAGGCCTCTGCCACCCTCGAAGGAACGAAGTTTTTCCTCATGTTCCACCCTCGAAGGAAAGAAGTTTTTCCTCATGTTCAGACAGAATTTTCCATAAACAGAATTTCCCATGTTCCAGTTTGTGCCAGTTGCCCCTTGTCATGTCATTGGGCACCACTGAGAAGAGTCTGGCCCCATTCTCTTGGCACCCGCCCTTTAGATATTGCTCAGCATTGATGAGATCCCCTCTCAGTCTTCTCCAGACTAAACAGACCCAGGTCTCCCAGGGTCTCTTCTCTCCTCCTGGTTTAGTTGATTCTGATCTTCTGACTGTATTTCCAGTGTAACACTGAAGCCTGCGTGCAGATGTGGGTCTGCCCTGGAAATGTGTCACTGTTGGACAAGACAAACATGTCAGGCTGAAGGAAGAGAGCAGGGATGGGCTACAGAGTGTCCCTCCAGAAGGCAGGATGGTAGCAAGAAAGGTACCCTCCAGTTTTGGATATATGTTGGGACTGTGTCTTTTGCCAATTTTGGAAGATTGGCAGCAGACTTGTAGACCTTTTTTCCCTCTACTGAGACTATGAATCTGAACGTACCGTAGGTGTGAGGTGTTTCCATTTCATGACAGCCTACTCCTTTCTGGGAAATGGGTTTCTAGATCTCTTTTTCTGGATCCTTCAGGAAAATATGCTTCATCATGAGCACAACTGATACTAAATCATAGAATCATAGAATTGCCCAGGCCGGAAGGGACCTCCAAAGGTCAGCTAGTCTGACCCCCCCGCAGTCAGCAGGGACACCCCCAACTAGACCAGGTTGCCCAGGGCCTCGTCGAGCCTCACCTTGAATATCTCCAGGGAAGGGGCCTCAACCAC